ACTCTATATTTATATTAAATCTAGAGTTATAGAAGAATAAGGTAGTATAGATTTATATTATAGCTAAAATATTAGCTAAATAAATTAGAAAAGATAAAAGCCTTTTTCTATAGTTAGTAAAAAAGAGAAGAATAAGTCTATTAGTTTTAGAAAGTTAGAGTAAGAGAGTTTTAAACTTAGTAAAAGTAAAATAGCTACTAGAGTAGAATATAGTAAATTTACTATAGCTACTAAAGTAGTTAATTCTTTTATTTAAGAGATAATTATTTTAAAGGTAGAGATAGTCTAGAATATTTAACTATATAAGGTTTTGTTTCTATTATATACTATATAGACTTAATATTAAAATACTAGTATATTAGTCTTAAGCTTTTATATTAGCTATTACTATATTTTTATTCTTTATACGCTAAATCTTTTCTTTAATAAGTATATCTATAGATATTAAGTAATAGTAGCGTTAGAAAAAGAATATATATACTATAGAAACTAATAATACCTTTTAGAAGTATATTCTTACTTTTAGTTTTAATATAATCTTTTATAAAATTACATAGAATTCTAGAAAGTATCTTATCTTAGATAGTGTAGGTAGTAATAATAAATATATTAAAGTTACGCTCTACTTTATTTAACGTATAGTTATACTTATCTAGATATAATTTATTAGTTCTTATTATTATAGTAGGTAAGTAAACCTACTAGTAATATATTCTCTTTCTACTATAAGTTTATATACTTTATTAGCCTTATAAAGTAAGTCTTTTAGTAAAAGTTATAGAATCTTTATATATATAGGCTAGTATTTAACTACTAAAGCTATAGCTTTACTATAAGCTAGTACTTCTAGAAAAGAAAATAGTAAGAGTAGCTTCTTCTTATAGTTATATATTCTAGTGTAGTCTTTTTATTTACCTTAGCTCTATAGCTATTTCTATAACTATTAGATCTAGCTAATATCTTTAGATATAGAAAATTTATTATTAATTATACTAATATATAAGTATTAAGCTTTTAACTAGATATATAATATAAGTATATATCTAAAAGTTAAGTAAGAAAATAATAAGCTTATCTTTCTTTACTTATTTTTATTACTTAACTATAATATTAAAAGCTTAATAATCTTTAGTTACTTATAGACACTAGTAACGCGTAAACCTCTAATCTCTTTATTAATATTTTTTATTTATACTATAATAGTAAATATACTATATATTATAAGTAGTAGAGTATAATAGTTCTTCTAGTAAAAAGACTTCTTATTTTATATAGTATAAGATAAAGTATATAATAAAGAGTATAGAGCTATTACTAAATTAAAATAGATAAGTATAGGTAATAATATATTATATATAACCTTAGTCTATATAGTATAAAGTAGAGTGTAAGGCCTACTTCTATCTAGAGATATACTATAGTAAATACTCTTTTACTCTTTCTTATATTTCTAGTATATCTCTTTACTAACTATTTAGATAGTATCTTAATTCTTTAGTTTAAGTAGTTTAGAAGATAAAGCTAAGATAGAAAATACTAGTTAAGACTATAAGACGTTAGCTATAATAGCTAGGTACTTAGTAGAGTTGTTCTACTATAATATACTAAAAAAAGTATATATAGTTAAGCTAGAAGTAAAGCTTTCTATATCTATAGTTTTAGGTATATTCTCTAGAACTAGTATATAACTACTTTAGAAGTCTAATAAAAAATAAAAGAAAGAAAAAAGTATAGCTAATAGAGCGCTTCTTCTAGTTAATAGAGAACTACTTTAGACTTAGCTCTCTAATAAGTATTATAATACTTAGCTATATCTATTTAATAATAACCTTACTATAATATAATAATCTATAGTTTACGCTTTTAGATTTAATATTAAAATAAGTATAGCTACTATTAGTTACTATATTTACGTTTCTTTTCTAATCTTAGTAAGCTACTAGAACTCTTAATATATAAATATTATACCTTAGAGCCTTAATTATATAAAAAGAATTAATAATATCTATATTATAGAAAGAGTATTTAAGATTTCTATATATAATATTCTAGATATAATAAAATTACTTATATATACCTTAGAAATATTCTAAAATAAACTAGAATAGTACTATAATCTCTCTAATAAAGTTAAGTTCTATTAGTATATAGTTTCTATTACTTACCTAAACTTATTATTACTTTTTTTAATTCTAGCTAGTAGCTAAATTTCTAAGTTAACTATCTATTAGTTAGTAGATTATCTTTAGTAGTATATATTCTACTTTTATATTAAAGAGAATCTCTTTAAACTCTTAGTTAGAAACTTTATTTTATATAATACTTTAATAAACTAGTACTATATTATTAAGTATAAGGTATAGAAAAGTTACTTAGTAGATACTATAAAGTAAAAACTTATAGCTTATATAGTAAATTAGCACTTTGCAATAATATATTAATAGTTATAGGTTACTATAATAGTCTAAATAACTATATATACTAATAAGAAAAGTAGTTAGAGAGATAACTAATCTAGAGATAATTATTCTAATAAGTTTAAGCTATAACTTAATAGTAATAAAGATAATATAACTATAGAAGGTACTTAGCTAGTTAAATTTATTTAGTAGTAGAATAAGAAAATAAAAACTACTCTCTACTAGAAATAAAGAGCTTCTAGAAATAATTCTAGTCTCTATAACTATAAAGTCTCTAATTCTAATACTACTAGTTAGAAAATTAATATAGATATAGATATAGATATAGATATAGCTATAGATAGAGATAGAGATAGTAGTTTAGAATTTAGTACCTCTATACGTAAGATTTATACTAGACTAAATACTTAATACTATATTCTTTAAAACTTAGTATAGCTTTCTAATTAAATTACTATTAATAGTAGAGTCTAGAGATTAGTAGTTAACCTTAGAAGACTATAGAATAAAGATAAGATATATATATATAAAATATATTATATCTCTTTAAATCTATTTACTAATATAGGTATAACTATAATAGAGAACTATAGATATATACTTATATTATCTCTTTTTATTAAATAGAGAACTACTTTAGAAATACTCTAATATAAACTTAATATAAATATTAAATAAAAATATATAGTATCTTATAGCTATATTAACTCTATTCTTATAGTAGATCTACGCTTTTCTACTAATAAAGATATTAGTATATTTAGTATCTATTACTAGCTAGTACTAAATAGTTACTATAAAATCTATAATTTTTATAAGAATAATAGTATAGTAAGTAATCTAAAGTAGTATTTAAGTATTAAGAGAGAGCTTCTTTAGCTTACTAACGCCTCTTCTAGCTAACTAAATTTTTTTAGTACTAAACTTCTTAAGAATTTCTAATTTAAAAGTTTTTTCTATATTAAGAATAGAGACTTTTAGTAATACTTTAAAAACGCTTTCTCTAAGCCTAGCATTACTACTTTATTTAAATTCTAGTAGATAGAATAGAATTATAGAAATCTATATAGAAGAATACTAATAGCTATAGTCTAGTATAATATCTAATAGTATTTATTTACTATATTTACTAATCTTTATAAGTATTATAAAAAATATCTAGAACTTTAAGCTTATCTTAATAGATAGTAGTATAATAATATTTTTTAAGTAATAAAGTAAGCTTATAGTTAAATCTTCTAAAGATAGTAGTACTTATAGTAAAGAGCTTTAAGTTCTTCTCTAAGATACTTAACTATATTATAACTACTATAGCTTAGTAAAGTAATACTAATTACTTATTTTTAGTATAAGTTATATAGATCTTACTACCTAATTTATAGCTTATATAAGTTATTATAAATTCTATATAGTATACTACTTCTAGAACTCTCTTTATATTAGAACTCTACTTAAGATAATTACTAAAGAGTATAGAGAGTATTAATACTATATTTTATATAACTAATATATTAATAAAAGCTAAAAGTATAATACTTTTAGTAAAGAATATAAAATCTATTAAAAAGAAGGTGTATAGTATACTTAACAAAGGTACATTTGTTTTAATTACTTATATTAATATAATTAGTAAGATATATATATATAGGCTTATTATAATAATAGGTATAGTAATAGTTATTTAATAACCTTATAATATAGGTGTAAGAAATATAACTTACTTTGTGTTAATTTACTTACTATATACCTCTATCTTAAGAGATCCCCGCTACGCCTTGACGGCACTGGCTTTTGTTGCGAGACAGTGGACGCAGATTATGTTGTTGACATGTCGTGTTTGAGTAATAGATTGCGCGAATCGCGAATGCAAAGCTAGAGAAGGGCTTTCAACAGTAACGCAGCTACTATAGTCGCCCGAAGGCATGGGATCCATGGGAGGGCAGGAGAAATTGTTGGGAAGCGGCAGTATGACTCTTACCCTACAGCCTACGTGCTCGTTTTCTGGCCTGGCGTGACGTCGACATGTGAATGCACGTCTTCGTTCGGCATCCCTTGGTTCCGATAAGGGTAAATGTCGAGTCTGGCACATGTTTGGCGCCGCAGATAGTTGTGGGTCAGGGATCACGGCGATACAGCTGCCCGTGGCGCGCGTGCGATAGGATGGGCGAGTGCGGTGCGGGCGTAGGGAGCTGCCGCATCGAGCAGCGTGGTGGTGTATAGGCAACCGAGTGCGAAGGTGCTGCGCTGAGCGCTGAGCGGCTGAACAAGGAGCGGGCGCCATGATGGTGCCAGGCAGTCCTACGATTCGCCATACGGGGGTTTCGGTGGTGGGCCTAGGAACTGTGTGGCCCTGCGGACCGTTTTCCAGAGGGGCTAACTCAATTTTTTTTTGTTGCGCTGGGTACTCTCAGCGACCACGACGACGCCTGAGTCTGACAGCATTGCAGTGCAGCCAGCCAGCCCTGACCACCTTACCCCAACCCGGCTTCTGCCCTAGCCCTATCTATCGCATCCGCCCTCCCATACAGACCTGACCCGTCCGTCTTATATCTCGACGCCGCCCCCTCCCCTCATCCCATCATGTCCGCTCCCCACGACACGCCCGCCCACAGCACCCACCCCATCAACACCACCACGTCCGCCGACCCCCCACTCAAGGGCGACGCAACCGCCGCGCACCCTCCCCCGCAGAAGCCCGACCCAACCCTCGAGTCCAACAGCCATGGCCCCTCCCAAGGCGGACAGTCCACCCCCCGTCCCTCCGCCGCCGCCGAACTCGCCCGTCTTAAAAGCACGCTGAAGGCCTCGCTCCGCCAGTTCAAAGACTTCCCCGAACCCGGCATCCTCTTCGAAGACATTCTGCCCATCTTCGCAGACCCCGCGCTCCACGAGGGACTGCTGCGCGGTCTCGAGCTGTCGATTGAGAAGCAGTTCGGCGCGACAGGTGCCAAGCCAGATGTCGTCGTCGGACTCGATGCGCGCGGCTTCCTGTTCGGGCCCAGCCTTGCGCTGAGGCTGGGCGCGAGTTTTGTGCCCGTCAGGAAGAGGGGCAAGCTGCCGGGTCCGTGTGAGACGGCGGAATACAAGAAGGAGTATGGCAGTGATTTCTTCCAGATGCAGGAGGGCGCTGTCAAGAGCGGGCAGAACGTGCTTATTGTGGATGATATTATTGCGACTGGTACGTGATATCGTTCGCATCAGAAACGAGACGGGATGCTGACACGACACAGGTGGCTCCGCAGCCGCAGCTGGTTCTCTGGTGAAGAAGCTAGGCGGAACTATCATGGGATACCTTTTCATTCTCGAACTCGATTTCCTCAAGGGCCGCGACCAGCTCGACGCGCCTGTACACACATTGCTCTCGGGCCAGGAGGAGAAGATGGAGCAGTAGGGGTGTAATACTGGGACGGCTGGTAATCTTCAGGCTTCAAATCTCGACTCGATACCGTAAACAATACACATTATAGATGGGGCATAGGAATGCATATGGGCGGCGTTGGTGGTTTGTATAGTCACGACATGGCGCGATGAGAGATGCGCGCGAGGATATCACGATAAATACGTCAAAAGTCTCTTTACTCGTATACGCACCTTCAAATGGTCATTTCCACACTATATCATTGACACCGAACTAAGCCCTGCGCCCTGCGCAACACGACAGCGGCATCATACCCTCTTTCCCCGTCGCAAAAGTCGCCGTCCCCAAAATTTACGCCCTCATTACCCCTCCATCAACAAAAACATCCCTGCAAGCTGCTGACACGCAGCGCCCGCCCAAGAGGGAAAGTGGGGTGGCTTCCGATGCCGCTCCCAAGCCCCATCTTATGTCACGGGTATAGGGCGGACGCGCTCAATTAGGTGTCCACCTAGCCCGATGATAGCCTCGATTTACCTGACGTAGATAAACGGTCCCATGCTGCTGATACGCACGGCGGTACCAAGAGCTCTACGTGCTTTACGACCTCTCACTGCTACAACCACGAATCTTACGCGACCTGCTATCACAACTTCACGCTATACAGCAATTGACATCAAAGGAATACGAAAGATGTCTGATATCAAGAAGATTCACACCGCCAACGCGTGTCCTCGTACGTTCCAATTGATAGCGGAGATGCGGAAGGAGAGATAGCTAACAGAGATACAGCTGCCGGACCCTACGTACGTTCCTCCTCTATCGATTCCAACGTATCCGAACAACCGCGTTAACGTCACCGTCTAGACACAAGCCATCGTCGCAGGCCCTAATGTCTTCGTCTCGGGCCAGATCCCCGCCGATACCAAGGGCAACTTGATCGAGGGAAGCATCGCAGACAAGACCAAGATGTGCTGCGAGAACATCAAGGGCATTCTCACTGAGGCTGGTGTTGCTATGGACAGGATCGTCAAGGTGCGTGCAAGAACATACATGGACAAACAGCCGATGAGGTGCTGACTACGACTCCAGGTCAACGTCTTCCTCGACGACATGGCCAACTTCGCCGAGATGAACGGCATGTACGAGCAGTACTTCTCCCACAAGCCTGCGCGCAGCTGTGTTGCGGTCAAGCAGCTGCCCAAGGGTGTGCCGGTGGAGATTGAGTGCATTGCGTATACTGGTATGAGCTCGAAGCTGTAAAGCGTGGAGCTGATGTTGATGATGCATAGGTTGAACGATTATTCGGTGAAGTGAGGCTGCTTTTGAATACCGTGGATCGGTTAGGAAGACTACAAGACACATGTTCAATATGAAGCACACTATTGCTCGACTCATCTTGATCATCGAAGAGCCGACCTTTTGCCATGCTCAAAATTACATGCCAGACGGCCTTCTCCTGCTGATCCGACACGAATTTGGATGGCTTGGGAAGGCTGAATCTTAGCGCCGCCACAAAACATCAGGCTAATGTATCACGCTCAGCCTCACTGCACTGCCCCGCACTGGCGTCCTTGTCACCACAACATGTTTCCCTTCCTCGCCCAAACGCAACAATCATTACACATTTGATCTCAATTCTTCCAGCTCATTTCCCAGGATTCTATACTAACGGTAACATGCGCCTTTTGCATGCCTCTGGCGACGACTTCGAACTCGTTGAGTTTATTCGCTACATGCCAACATACGCAATATTATCACATACCTGGGGCGCCGACGAGGATGAAGTCACATTCAAAGACATATACAAGGGCAAGGGCAAGGGAAAAAAGAAGCCCGGCTACGCCAAGCTCCAGTTTTGCGCAGCGCAGGCGGCTAAAGATAAGCTCGAATTCTTCTGGGTTGATACATGCTGCATCGACAAGAGCAGTAGCGCGGAATTAGCTGAAGCCATTAACTCGATGTTTAAGTGGTATCGAGATTCGACAGCATGCTACGTATACCTCTCCGATGTACCCAGCACAGGCACCCCGTATTTGCAGAGCAACAAGCAGCCATCTTTCAAGGGTAATCGATGGTTCACACGTGGATGGACGCTTCAGGAGCTTTTAGCACCAAGGACTGTTGTCTTCTTCAGTGTGGACGGCACAAGAATTGGAGACAGGTCTTCCCTTGCAAAACAAATTGCACGTGAGACGAGCATCCCTGTAGCCGCATTGGAGAACGGTTCAGACTTTATGCTCAAGTATCCTGTTGAAGAGCGCATGAACTGGGCAAGATATCGTCACACGAAACGCGAGGAAGATGCCGCCTACTGCCTTCTTGGCATTTTCGAAGTTCAGATGCCGCTCATATACGGCGAAGGCAAAGAGAAAGCTTTTGGTCGCCTGCAAAAGGAGATCGAAGATGTGCATGGCAGGCGTGACTGGGTTGACAACCTCTTGCATCGGTACGAGCTCCCATTGTTGCAGGTAAGCATATGTACCCAAATTTATTATCCGGCGTGAGATCTAACCTTACTCCTAGATCCCTTGGGCTTCTATAGGCCACGATGTTGCTGGAGCTGTGAAGATTTTTATCATTCTCTGTACAATCGTCATCCTTGCCTTCGCGATCGTGTACGACCTTCCACTGACGATGTGGTTTCTGGGATGGGCTGTGGCTGCGACACCATTCTATCTCTATCGCTGCACCCGGTGGAACAGGCCAGAACAAATCCTTATTTTCTCTCTAGTAGCAGTCATCTGCTACGTGTTAGGAAAGCTCATCTGTCTACAGAGAGAGCTGCAGAGACTGAACGACATCGTATTCGATAACGCAATGATGCAAGGCATAGACCAGCAAAGCATACACATGCGAGAGATCATGCGGCGCATGCAGAAGGGGGTTATATAGGCCGCTAACCTTTGCGCTTTACTCATTGTAGTAGGGTTGAATTAAGCTCAGCAGGGGCAACAAGTCTGCAGCTTGTGCAAGGTCGCTCACATACGGAAAACTGCCACTTACAAATACCGGCAGCCGTTTATGCACATTGAAAGACCGTACACATTGCCATCAGGAAACCAGGTTCAACCACATTTCTGCTGCACAGGCGATCAATTCGTTCTGCATCAGCTTTTCTGGGCGACAAGCCTCACGTTATGAAGCGCCTATCCGGGATTGACTAAAACCCGTCTACAATTGGTCTTCAGACCGAGCGGGAAGGCGTGCAAAGTGCCCAAGTCTCTTGGGGTCGGGGAGAACGTCTGGGATAAATTTCCGGGTAAAGCTACGTGACGAACATTGCCGCTTCGGGAAACATGACACAACGAGCACTATGGGATAACACAGAACTCTCATAAGATGCTGTTATGCCTCGAGAGCTTGTGGAAAGCTTTCATACTCATATCCAGCGAGGTGTCATTGCAGTCATGCGCTGCCTAACCCTAGCGATTATTGTCCTGCAACTCGCACTCCAGCATGCATCGGCGACAGTAGGCGTCCTTGACATCGACGACCTGCTACAACCAGATCTCCAACAGCATTTGTTCGCTCCAAGCGAAGATTATCCGTACGCACCATGGTCTCATAAACCGTACTGCATGACTAGCAGCTATCTCCCCACCCTCGGCCAAAAGTACTGCGTCTACACATCCAACACGACGGGCCCACACGGTCTCTCCCTGATCTTTCCCCCAAGATCCGCCCATCTAGCGTCGGAATATCTCGACGACAACCCGCTCAATAACTTCCTGACTCAGAAAGATGCTGAGCGCTTGTATCTCGGCGGTCAATCATGGAAAATCGTCGATATACCCGGGAAAGCGAAAGGTGTAGTGGCCACTCGCAAGATTACGATGTACGAAACGTTCATGGTGGATCAAGCCGCTGTTGTTGTAGATATGGGGGCGGAGAAGGCTCTGAATGAGGCCGAGAATAAGAAGCTGATGAAGAGGGCTGTGGATCAATTGCTTGTTCCTGCGATGATTAGAGATATGAGTTCTGCGCATGCAGGGGAAAACCATGAGGGTGGAAATGATGGAGATGACGAAGAGGAAGGGAGCTTAGAGGAAGCCATCATGAAGACGAACGCGTATGGCAGTACGGTTGCGGAGGTTAGCTCGAGGGCGTTGTATCCGCTGATCTCGGTAGGTCGCGGCGCAGTCTAAACAGCAACATCAGTGTCACTGACCGTACCAGCGCATTAATCATGCATGCAACCCAAACTCCTTCGTCCTCTTTTCCCGCGCAGGTGTCTCAATGGCCATAAAAGCCTACCGGGACATTGAGGCCGGCGAAGAGATCACCGTCTCTTGTAATCTCCACCCTCTTCCTTCCTGTTCTTGTGCTAACGCCACCTAGACCTCCTCTTGGGTATCCCATTTCAAAAACGCCAATCTCTGATAAAGCGCTGGGGTTTCAAATGCACATGTAGCCTCTGCAGCCTACCAGCCGACGAACGCCAAGCCTCTGATCTTCGCCGCACAATGATCACGCAGGCCGAGGAAAAGATTATGGAGCTTGCGAAGGCCTACAAACTCGACGAAGCTATAGCTCTCGCCGAGGAATCCGTCGAACTGATCAAAGACGAAGGAGTCTGGTCGATGTTGACCGATGAGTATGCCATGTTAGCTATGCTGTGGTTGGAGAAGGGCGACAAGGAGAAGGCAGAAGCGTATGGCGAGAAGACGCATAGGTTGTTGTCTGATCTGGGGTTTTTGGGTATTGGAGAAGATAGGGAAGCGTGGAAGTTGGAGACGCTCTTAAAGAATATTGGAGGTCTGGGAGGGATGGGTCAGCTTTGGAAAACGGGCCCTTTGAGAGGGTAAACTGATGAATGAAATAGAATGTTTGTTTGGAATCTAGGTGTTAGGTGGGGTGACAAGACGAGGTTTTTCCCGTGGCTAGGCCTGAGAAAACTAAACACTTCCGTGCTTCCTTCTGTAGTGACTTGTCGTGCCGATCGGTCCTGCTCCGCCCTTCTCGACCCAACTATCCACGCCACCTAGTCTTCCTTGCGTAGGTGGCGCTGGATTCTCACCGCGCTCAACCATCGGATGGTAGAGACCTACCTTCTGCGACAAAGCGACATGTATTTCATCTGGCGACTTGTTTGCCCATGCTCTGGTGCTCAGATACGAAAGGGGGTATAACGGCATGTTCTCTTCACGACGCATAAAGTCGTTGACCAGAGGTGCAACGCGTGACATGATGATGTCAAGATCTTGGCGGATTTGCTGGCAGAATGCATCGAGTGGTAGGTCATTGACATCGTGTCCGAAAGGATCTTCAATCTCACGGCCAATGAAAGCGATACCCAGGATGATGTACGCTGCAACCACACATGCAGGGATGGTGATCCAACCTAAGCTGTTGTAGCATTGGAAGGGTAGCAACAGAATGTACAGCCATGTAACCTGGGATATGGCGATGGAGTACGCAAGTGGAAGCGGTGTGTTCAGGATTCTCTCCGTGCCACACGACACTTCGTCCATGATTGTCAGCGAGTCCAAAGTCTGGGTTTGATAGATACTGTAGTCTCTCAACGTGCCGTTGTCGTATAGAACTTTCATGTACGCAGAGAGGTGAGATAAAATCTCAAGGGGTAGGTCCCCGAGAGGCACGCGCGATTGCTTGACGTGTTTGCGTGGGTTGGGCGTCGCCATGGGCATGCCGAGTAACTGACAAGTCCGCCTGAAAGCGCTCGGAGGGTCGGGCGCAGGCATATCCGCTGCTTGCGCAAAGGTATCCAAATGACCGACCAGGTGCTTCAGATCCTCGTAATGCGTTCCTGGCTCGAACCGCAATTTATGTTTCACTGCGACAGCGAAAGCCACAATCAGGTTCAGGCAGCTGACCTTGCCGAGCAGATCTTGCTTCCCCACCCCTGCATCAGCACCATGCCTCTCTTCAGCGTGTATCCATATCAGACGAGCCAAGATGTGCGATGCGAGTCGAAGGCGCCCCCAAAGCTGTCGACCTTGGAAGTAGCGGTCCATCGAGGTAGAACTGCGGACGCTGAGGGCCAGACTGACGACAAAGCCTAGTACGGTGATGAAGACTTGGTCGGTTCCAACTGCGTCATGTTAGAATAGGGCTTTGTAGTACAGGAAGAAGAGAATATGGCTTACGGTCATATACAAGCTTCGAGATGCAAGTAACGGCGGTGGCCCACCCGCCTACCAGCAAAACGGGTATAACAAGCTTAGGTGTGATGCTGCCGTGAAGTCGCAGCATCATCGGAAACTTCGAGTGATGGCTGAGGTCGCGCGGCCCCATCTACCCTCCTTAGCAAGTTGCGCGTCCATATACTGCTTGATCCTCTGCAGGTAACATACGAAGTATCCATCGCTAGGCGATCTCGGCATGGCTCTTCACTCGTATGGATAGGAGAGATAGAAATCGCGGCGATGTGTGATTAGACGAGTGTCGCGGAAGCTTAGGTGGAATAGGATAGGATCTGTGTGGGAGTGTAGCGGCATGGCTGTGCGATCGTTTCGACGACGTTGTGGCAGTCATCTGTAGGAGTAGCAGGTACAATGTGTGCTACTTGCCCTTTCCCTCTGTTACGTGAAGGTAGCGCCTACCTGTAGATGAAGTAAGTTCGGTGGCATCGGCGTCTTCTTCAAAGTCTGCAAGAAACATTCGTCGCTCGCACAGAAGCAGACGCGTCATTCCATAGGTGGTGATGCGGCCGGCAATGTATGTGTGAGTCTGTCCAGGTTGCGGACCTTCATCTTCTCAGTGTCGATTGGCAGACGTCGTACAATAGCGGATTCATACCCGCGACTGCTGCTACCATGGCATACGCGCAGCGAGAGAGCGAGGAAGTTGTGAGAGGCGTCGCTGGTGTGATGAGGCATCACGCGTTCCGCTTGCGGCCCCACTTAATGACGTCACGCGCTCCGAAGCTCGCGTCAAACTTCACGCGGACGAACCTCAACTACCCAGATGCTACTCACTACGCGCGTCACATCTTCACGATACTCTTACTTCCAACAGAATCGCAGCAAGTGGATTCACAACTGTGATTGATGCTCATGATCCGTAACGAGCCGGCGCGGCACAGTCTCATTATGTACAGCCGGACAAATCGGCTGTCAGCCTCAAAAGTTGTATTGCGTCACTGATACTAGGCATAGGACCCAGCCAAAGCGCCCAAATCTGCAGGGACAAAGAATCTATTTTTCAAAAGTATCAAGCCCTCTTTACCACCCGTTCCAAAGGAGAACGCTGTGCACCAAACTCGGTTGCGACGAGCGGAATACTGAACTTACAAAGGGACAACCACACATACCATGAGAGAAGCAAAGCGAATATTACCGCAGTGAGCATACCATACGCCTTCCCTCACCTGAGGGAATGCGAAATCTCGAACCAAATCAACACCGCGCCTCTCAACACCGCGCCTCAAAGGTCGTTGCGTCTAGGTCCTCCGGGTGCGGCTTTTCTGCGGCTCTTCTACATCGGACACGTCCTCAGAATTGTAGCGAGTACGCTTGCGACTAGTTGGCGGTGTAGGCGCCACTACCATGGTCAGTGAAGTTCATTGTGCCTGATGATAGACCTACGAATCTGCTTTTTCTTCCCGGGCTTCTTGACGAGCCGATCTTCGCGCTTTCGGCCAGCAGTAAGGTCTTTCTGACGCTCGTCGTTCTGTTGGCGGTTGCTCGAGCTAATCTGGAGGAGAGTATCCGGGCACAACACATACTCCTCGACACATCCTCCACGCAACAGCTTGTCGACACGGCTCTTGTATGACTTCAACACTACGACAAGTTTCGAGATACGCTCCTCGAACGTGAGCTTCCGTGATTTCTCGCAGCGATCGATCATGACAGGATCCAGGATCGAAACGAACCCTGCGCCTTCTCGATAGATGCGTTCAGTTGTTTCCTTGTGCATGTTAGCGCCTGTAATTGCGTATGCTATAGCGAAACTGACCAAGATATCCCAGCAGAGACGCTCTTTCACCCAAGGTTTGTACACTGTATTGGTAGCGATCTTCTGTGTGCGTTTTGTCTCCCCAGCGTCTCCAACCCCGTCTTTGCTCGATTCTCCTGCACTCTCTGCCAGCCAGCGCTTCTTGAGCATGGGGCTCGACATCTTGTCCTGGATGTCGCTGGTGTCTTGGATAGCTTCGAAGAGCTTACGGACAACTGATATCCGCTCTTCTTTGGTGTTTGGCAAAGTCTCGTCCTCACGAGGTGGCCAGTCCAGTCCCCGAGCTTTCTGGCGGGCTTCGGTGACTTCGGTAAAGTACAGGCCGAACGAGTTCAGTGGCAGTGCTTGTCGCTTGGTCTTCTTCGCATTTATGTTGGTCTTCATCTTTGTCTTGTGAAGCGAATCACTGCGCTTAGTTCCGTTCACCGCAGCGGGGGGTTTCTCTTCCTCTTCCTCTTCGATTTCCACAATCCTACTCTTGGTCTTCGTCTCTGCCTTTCTGGACCGAACTGGACTGTGGATCACAGGCGCCTCTTCGGACTGTCGACTCGCCCTACTTCGCGGAACATACTCTTTCCAACGGCGATTGTTGTTGTCGCAGTGACCAGCAGAGACTGCGTCTTCGAGCTGCGATTGGCGGAGTGTTGAGGCCATCAAGACTGCACCTTCGGGCGAAGCGGGAAGGGATCGTGGAAGCCCTGTAATAGGACCAGCATCATGGAAATTCTTGAAAGCAGACACTTGGTCGTTGTCGTCGAATGGCCAGGCCTCGCTGCCCCAATGAGTTGGGTATGATTGACGATGAAATGGTCCGTGCGATGTCGCGATAGTGTCAGTCTGACCATACCGCATCGGAGGCGGGCAGATAATGTATTCTGATGAGCCTTGAAAATACTGGGGCCTCTGAAGCTGACGGCTTAGAGCGACCTGCGACGCTTCCCACTCATGGACATGATGGTCTGGAGGCATCATCCGCGCATCGCCTTGATCAGTGCCGCACATGTCCCATTCGCCTTGATCGTGGGGGTGATAAACACTTGAAGATTGGCTGAATGGGGCAATATCGGTCTGCGATGATGTTGTCACGGAGGACGCAGCGGTTGAAGGAAGCATTTCGACAGCGATGTAAGTGGTGGCCAGTAGTGAATTGGGTCGGCGATATCAATATCGGACTTGTTCACGATGTAGAAATACAGGATTTAATCAAAAAGTGCGTATATAGAAGTAGTTGTGTTGTCTTATTTGCGACTACCCGCTGACTAGTACTGGTCGGGTGGCGCTCTGACCAGTGTGATGTAAGAAGAAGGTACACTGAGCACGACCGCGGCAATGACAAGCACCACATCGCTGCGTCTGAAGAGCTATCCAGAACTATATTGAGATAGAGATACTGCGGAAGCTCAATGTATTGACAACTTCAGGTATCTTCACACGGCTCTACAACCTGCTATATGTATTGTTCCAGCGCGGCGACGGTCTGGAGAAAAGATCACGTGGGAGCGAAGGCTCTTGACCCCGTGCTTGAGAACTCAGTCGTCCCTGACTTCTCCGCAAATGGTCACCTGGGCACTGACGTAAAGTCACGTGGGAAATTTCCGATCAACGATGTTGTTCGATGTGACAATTTCGACATGGTCGCATTGATAGCTCTACGCATGGCAACGACTGAGCTCCAAGCTAGACACAGAATCGCACTCTTTCCAAACCATATTCGCCTTGCAACCACCGCCGGAAATACTTGCCACGATCTTACTGCTACTGCCCGATGTATATTGGGCGCTCTGCTAAGGTCTCTCATCCGTTGGTCCGATCGCTCGCCGGAGTTTGGGTGGCAGATCTAGTGCCCAAGGTGCTACCTGGGCGGTGACCTTCTTCATACTGGAACTTCTCAAAGCTCTGATCATTCCGAGAACGCGCATAGTTATGAGAGCGCTTAGCTGCAGGCTCCATCTTGTATCCTCCGTCACCATCCGCCGGACGCTTCCCAGGCACTGCTGATCCACCAGGTGGCTTTCGACCTGGACTAAACGTACCCGACTGACCACCCGTAGCCATGTAGTTGTTAAACAGCGACGGCAACATACGTACATGCTTCAGGATCTGCTCCTGCTCCTGAGGAGTCGGATGTCTAAGCCCCTGCGGATACGGATGAATCTGAGTCTGCACTATGCGTTGCTCGTCCGACATACTCGACCACTCTTGTTCAAACCGCGGTAGATGGCGGAGGGACGTCAGTGGTAGCGCGACATACTTGGCAATATCCCTCCCCAACATGACGTTATCAGCCGCGACTTTCGAGTGCCAGAACAGCCGCGCGAGGTAATGAATCCGCTGTGGAAAAGTAAAATCCATGTCCTCCGCGTTCAGCGATTCAAACTCCTCGCACCGACGGAACGGCAAGCCAGCGACACCCATTTTGTGGATGCGCATAGCGTTGCTGACGATGATGTGTGCGGTCGCTTCGATGTCTCTGGGATCAGCCCATGTACCCGTTTTGGAGAATTTGACGGCGTAGGGATATACATCTGCGACTGTGTCCCATATGTTGGAGAGGTTGACGAGACCGAAACAGATCTTCTTGACATAATACGATTTCTCCGCTTCGTTTTGTGGTACAGCGTAGGCGCCAGTCGACGGTCGCCATATGATTTCTTCTAGGTAAGACGCGACAGCCGCGCCGGTGGGTAATTCGAGTTCGTTGAACGACGAGATCGAGTAGGGTTGTAGTAGTGGTCTTGATGGGCTGGGTACGGGACACTGATTATGCATCTGATCGAGGTCGATATCGAGTTGGGGTAGCCAGGAGTTAGGTACCGCGGACGTATCGGTGGAGAGATTTTGCTTGTAATCTTCTCGATAGCGGGTATACGGGGTTGCGATCGGACATTGGGGTGGGCCCGGGTTGAACGGACGAGAGTCGGATAGGGTCGCCCAGGATGGGTAGCCTGCCTGTGACAGAGCATGTTGATATTGACGAGCGTCCATGGGTTGAGCGAAACCAGTGGGCTGTCTGTTAGACAGTGTTGGTGTGACCCAGCCTTCCTGCTGTCATGTTTAGTTGAAGCATTTTCTACACTGATAATGCAGATACTTACAGGCTTTGGTGCCTGATTTACCAAGCTAGGACTCATGTTGGGAAATCTTGGTTGGCCCATAGGCGAGAACACGTTGTTCCTTGACGTTTGAGCCCCATTTGGTTGGACGTTGGGGCTGTATGCGAACTGCTATGCGTTAGTTGCTATATATATTATCTGGTACCCAAGGAGCGAAAGCTTACCACGTCATCAGCTGAAACGTTTTGGTTACGCTGGGAGCCTGGGCGACTGCCGCTGAAGTCATCGTGACCTTGCGCCATAACGGAGTGCGATCTTGTGTTCAAGCGCGATACGTCACCTTGATCACTCGGTGTCTGCGCGGGCTCTTTCTTATTGTTGCGCGGACCGACCATTTCGAACGTTTTGGAATAGTTGAGCGGGTGTTGTCTTGAAGAGGTCTTCCAATGTCACGATGCGATATATCATTGCTCCACGTTATACGCCAAGGCTCGTGCCTAGGCGCACGGGGTAATTCGGACAGAGATGAGTTAGCGTCATATCAAATGTCTGCTACGGCTTCACGCGCTCAGTGAGCATGATTGCGTAATATCGTAGTACGTCACCAGTTCTGGGGAGTTGGGATGATGAAAGTACGGGGTTCCATTATGATTGTGACTCTCGTTCTTAAAGAGGACCTAATCCTGTAGTAGAGTAGAGTAGAGTATGAAGTTTGGAAGTCATCGAGTCGTGTGTGGTTGATTTCGTCAGCGTGATGCCATGGTAGGACTTGAGTTAAAGTAAAGCCACGTCAGATTTGTAATCACCTTGTTTCTAATCAAGATGCGAAGTCAACAAGTAAAGATGTAGAAAGAGATGATGTTCCGATAATCCCTGGATTGCTCCTTGCGTCAATCTAAGTGCCTCGTGTATAGGTAGCCACCATGTGCAGTCTCGTCAAATTCTCAGAAAATGACCTCGCTCAACCGCTCAACCAATTGCAGGAGCGCTCGCATATCCACTCCCTCTTCAAAGACCAAAACGCTGACACCAAAGAAACAAGGCCATGGGTATAATATAATCATGAGAAACATAAATCGGTCGTCCGTCGTTGTTTTACCGCTCATCACATAACAGTGCATCCCATCTTCTTCTTCCCCTTGGCCTTCTTCTCTCCAACAAGGACGCCATCCATCCTGGAACTGCGCCCAGTACCTCCACTCCCACCGAGGAGATCGCCCACACTCTGCGACGCCCTATGCACGCCACCTTGCGGTGGCCCGTAGTAACTCCCATAAGGATGGTTGTACTGCGCACTTTGATCTGTCCTCGGCGGCGCACTGATGGGGAATCTTTGACCGGCTGAGTACTGTTGGTCTGGAGCAGCCAGAGGTGGCAGAGTGTTCCTTGGCTGACTTGAATTGTTGACTGGCGGTGCAGGATAGGGCATGCTCATGCGTGGGCTGCTCATGGGTAGAGGACGGCGCTGAACTGCTATGTTTGGAGCCGAGCCGCGGCGGGAGGCTGGAATACTGGGGACGGGTGGAGCGTAGAGGTCGAGATTATCGTGAGGAACTCGTTGAGTGCGCCCATTTGTGGGACGGCGGGTGGGCATGTGGGATGCGGTGTTCGGGTATGCGGATTGGGGTTGCGGCAAGGGTACATACGACATTTGTTCCGATGGTGATCGGGTCCTTGATCGCCTCCGTCGTATCGAGCCAGAAGATTGGGGGCTGGGGTATGTGGATGGATGCAGCAGAGATGGGCGACGCCCTGGGTCGGCAGCTGGAGGTGATGATACGTCGACGGAAGATATCGATTGTTGGCGCTGATGGTAAGGGTGCGACGGAGACATTTGGGAGGGGTTAATGGTTGCGGACATGTTTGGTAGTGGAGGAACGGGCGGTATGGAAGATGATGAATGAGTATGAGGTAATCGAGGTACAGGGGGCGCATCCGGATGGCTCAGGCTCACACTCTCTGCTGCTGCTGCGGTGGTCGTATATGCTGGCGGAGGTGGCACCCAGTTGTCGGCGTCACTTTCGTGTGGCAGCTCTCGATGACCGTCTGCACGACGGTACTCCAGGGGTCTGAAAGGCAGAGCACGCAGATGCCGACGGTTCGCAGGTGATACCGCCGCGACGGTGGCAGCCCTAGCTAGAGACATCTGAGATCGAGGTTGTTGATTATCATACGGAGCTTCAAACATTGCCTGTGCCTCTTCCGGTGTCAACTCCTCCGACTCATCGGAAGGCAGTGGTGGTCTTGGCGCATTCCGGTTCGCAGAAGTATGTGCCCGCTGAACAGGCGTGGTTCCAATTCTCGATGGTCTTCGTGCAACAATGTCGTTTCGATCCTGGGCTCTGCGCTGTGCCATGGTCCTGGTTCGTACCAGTTCCACCTCGCGATCAAAGTCAATCGAGCCTTCCGGTAGCATCTCGCCTGGACAAAGGGGGTCTAAGTCGTATTCTGTCTTGAGCGGCGTCGGTGGAGCGCTTCCCAGGGGCTTTGTCTTGTCGAAATCCAGGACTATCAGGACGCCCTTGGACCCCAGTGGCGCCCCAGGCACATCGTTCTCATCGGGTAGTATGCTCGAGTTGCCAACCGCTACAAGTCGCTGAACGTTGGCGTTCAGCCTAACCCATCTGAGCACGCAAATTTCTTGCAAAGTACCTGCGTTGTCGTTTGGTATGGGAATGCAAAAGCAAGGCTGAATCGGGGCATCCACCTTGGCCTTTTCGCTCGGCTTGTACTCCCAACCTGGTACTTCGTAAATCCAGATATTGGTGGTACCTCGCATCCGCAGGGCAACAGCGGCAAGGTCAGCATTTGGAGAGACAGCAGGCATAGCATCATCTACGAATTCTGAGCGCGTCCACCTCGCGTGATCCGGCAGAAACATCTTCCGCTGTGTGAAGCGTTGGCATGCAATATCGTAGATGCCCCATGAGTCCTCCTCGGCGTTGAACGCGAAGAGTTCGTTGAACGTCCCGGTGTCGGCATCTGGAAGCAGGGTAGCTTGGCGTGCTATTCTTGCTGTCTCAGGAAACAGCACCGAGCCGGTCCATGCAGCTTCCGGGGGTTGTGGAATCGGCTCGCCCTCTTCTGTAAGCGGACCATCGTAGAGACCCGGTAGGACGAACAAGGCCGAGCCATCCGACTTCCTCGCATACCCCGTTATGAGCAGTGTGCGACCGTCGTCCGAGAACTCCAATGCATCACCGGCGGGTCCCGAAAGCGTACGCCGTGTCGTCTCAGGTACTTCTGGCCCAATGGCAATGACTTCGATGCCGAATTTGTTGCCCGTAATTAAGATGCGCGCGTCCGGCGATATGACGATAGAGCTAGCCTCGTGCACCAGCATGATGGTCCGCCTCTTCTTGATCTGGTTATCGCCCTCGCCGTGGATTTCGTATAGATCGACCTGTGAAGGTCTCGATAGCACGGCCAATAGAAAGCCATCTTCAGTAATGTCGATTGCGACCGGCTTGCGCTTGACCTGCAGTGTCCTTGCCCATAGTCGCGGCAGCTGCACGGTCTTGACCAAGAACAGATTCGACGCCGAGTATACCGCAACATATCCACCTTTCCGGGACACATTCACATCGAAGCTATCAGGGAGCGCGGACGAGGACGCAGTGTTGGAGACGAGTTCGAGGAGGGTAAGGCTGGGGGCCGCATACGACGGAGTGGCAATGGGCGTATCGTCATTCGGCCGATCGTCATAGGTAGTGGCGGATGTCATAGCCGTCGAGTGGCCTGACGAGGAGATAGTGTCGGTGTTAGCAATCGACGACGCAGAGAGCAGCGTGTTCACGTGCTCGTAGCCCTCCGAGTCTTCAGAGCTGACGGATGTGGTGCGCGCGCGCTCGTCGTAGGCCGCCCGTTTTCTGTGAGCGCTGCCCTCATCGCTGGCGAAAGCGACGCCCTTCCCTCTTCCTTCCGTTGAGGGCGCCGTGCTGTCGAGTTGCGCTCCCGGGTTGTGATGGTGTGAAGGCCTCCCCACCATGGTAAGCCTGATCGCGCCTTCCTTGCGTGGGCAAATGTGGTAATAGCGGGTGCGAAGAGCGTCAAGTGGGCGTCGGATGCGGCTCCATGAGGGTGCCTGTGGTCGCTTGGGTCGTCTTCAGCTGGGACCTTAGCAACATGGGAGCATTGCGATTACTAGTAAGGCAGCTTGGAATGTAGAGGTGTCTAGCAGGCGCTATTGCTGCAGCCAGACACGCTCGGCCAGGGTCACGTTCCTCGTTCAAGCCTGGCCTATACCCGATCTGCCGCTAACTCCTAGTCCGCTCCCATGCTCCGATGCTATTAACAGCAACACACGGCGCACACAGTCGCCTCGCCCTTTCGTATCCGATAATCCTGCAAAATCTCTATCTACTCCCTACTGACCGCCATGTCGCCCATGCAAGATGCAACACGCCGTGGTCTCCGGTGCGACCTTGACTTGTTTCGCGACACGCTGTCACATCTGTCCACCCTGGATAGCGCCATGCGACATTGTGGAGGCTGAGCTGTTTTGGCGGACCGCCTTTGGGGCCTGGCTAACTGAGGCTAACACGCTGGCGAATCGTGGAGAGCTGGTTGCCCTAGTCGCGCCCTGACGCTTGCAGCAACGAAACGCGAGAGGGCTGGTGGGGCAGACAACTGTCGCTACACCCCCTGCAAGGACATCCTTCACCTCTCGCTATAGGGCAGTATGTCGCCGTTTGGGTGTGGTAGTAGTACAGCGTCTTCTGCCTGCAGCAGTGTGCCTTTCAAGGTTACAATCACCGACGTCGAGTTGGGTCCTCCAATTTCCGCTACTTGCGCACTCCGAAAGCGGAGAACAGTCTTGGGGGGTATACTTTCTTCCACTGGCTGTGAGATTGTCGTATGCGATACTGCAAGTAGAAGCTGATGATGATATAAGATTACATCTCATGTACGCCGTGTACGCCGTGTAAATTGCTTACTAGGTAGTAGATCTCGCTCGTGACCTCCTTACCGTCAGCGGCACATCATCGTTGCCGGACGCCACTACGACTGGAATAGCAGATCGCGCATCCTCAGCTCTAGTTACGCCGGGCGAACGACGTCTGGAGTACAACTGAATACATGCGCATGATAAGATAACCGCGATCGAGTATACAAACATTTTACTGTGAAGCAACGCCCTGATGATCGTGGAATCATTGCCTGTCTAGGTTCTTCACACCATAAAGGCTTTCCACTTGGCAAGACATGGCGCATACCCGATGTTCTCCCTAGCTGGGTGTTTGTTTCTGTGTGGACGTGAGGGATATATAATGATGCTGCTGTGTGATATCCTATCTCGTCCTACTGGTGCCGAACGTGCATGGCGGAAATTCTGGATCCTATTTTTTCCAACTCTTCCTCTGTATATGAAGCATGCACCTATCGTGAGATAAGATATAATATCCGCAGGGTTTACCAGTCCCTTCCACTCGTTTGCGCAAACGGTCGCAAGTGTATCATAACGCGAGCGTCCATCTTCGTACGGGATTGGATGTCTGTTATTAGAGCATTAGCCAGCCGAGGTAGTATGAGCTTCCACAGCTGTCTACCACCGAAGAACTCCTCATGTTGCATGTGCTGGAGGCCTCGTTCGCCGTGAGGGGACGTTGCGCGTGCCAATGCTTGTGCGATGTTCGTGATATGAAGATCGATCAATTCGGCGTCTGAGTGTTGGTCAAGAGAGCGCATGCAGCTCCTCGATGCAGCAATGGCAGGCGAGCGTGACTAACAATTTTCTGTAACTTGGTTTAGCGACGTCTTACATCCGCTTAGAAGGCCCATGAAGGATGGAAGTATCGTAATTAGCATAGCTTTTGTAGCTCGGTGGCTGGAGTAGAGTTTGAGTGCGTAGGACAACCTCCGGCATGACTACGGAGGTTTGGGAGCCAAGATGAGCGCAATGGCGCCCTCACACCAGTTCGAGAGCGTAGTGTCATGGAAAGAAGCCGATTCGGCGCTGCGTGAAACTTCACAAGGTGCGAATTCCAGAAGCTGGTTGGCGGCATCGCCGGAAAGCGCCTCGGTGCCATATGCAATTGTCAAATTAGTCATTGGTGATTAGGGTCCAAGGCTACCACGATTGCGCCGCCACCCGCGATCGCGCTCGGAATCGCGCCCGTCGCTAACTACATCGTCTTTACCATCTTTCCAATCTCGCTTTCGCCAAATTCTCGTCAAATACCTGCGCGGAGAAACTTGAAATGGAATTAGCCTGCACACATGCAGCCCCTCCGGACTTATATTCGGCGCTCGACGTCAAGTCTTTAGCCTGATTCAGTACAGATGGTCGACCCGAAGAGTGACTAACGGTCGGGGCAATGCGACGTTGCGTCTGAATATTCAAACTCTGACAAAATGATCCTCAAAGGCTACATTTTCAGAAGTTGGATCGAATGTTCTTTCGCACACCTTCATGAGAAACTCGGCCAATCGAGACGTGGAAAAAGTTGCTAAGTTTCACTACCACAGCTAGCACCACTATGTCGACCAACATCTTGGTGTGATCGACATACCCAACTGCGAGCCCCTGCAGCGGAAGAACGATCACCTTCAGCCTACATCGTCAGGCACACGACCTAACATGCCTGAAAACTTTACAACGACATGAACACCGCGTGCTCATTGGTACGAACGCGCATTTCCGACAATTGGCTTTGAACCCAACCTGCCACGACATGGCCCTAAAGTATATCGCAAGCTATGATCGGTGTCATTTGGGTCTGCGCTCGAAGTTTATTACCAGAGTGTGCCCCACGCCACCATGGGCCATGCTTGTTGAAGCTTGACATACTCCTAATATACTCCGCGGTTCCGCTCGATCCACTGCCTGCCTGAAATGAGTATCAATGCCCCGTCACTCGCAAACGACATGTTGACAGGAGAGTCATGGCAACACCACCACCACCAGATCCTCACTTGATTCCCGCGCCTCCTTCAGCGGCAGCGCTGAGGAGCGGGAAGTCTATTGCCGGTGCGACGCTGGCCCTTCAAAGCATCGCTCTGATTGTCTTTGGAGCGCGCATGTGGTCACGATGGATGCCTGTATACAGAATGCAGTGGGACGATTACACATGCGCTTTAGCATGGGTAAGTAGCAGCTCATGTTCTCTAATACACTCACGATATCGGGTCGACTGACAGAATCAGGTCTTGATAGTGGTTAACACATGTCTTCTCCTTGCCGCTACGCCGTATGCTTTCGGACTCCCACCAGACGAGTTCTTCCTGTCAGATGCGCAAGCTGCAACCAGGCTAGCGTCTATCTCTCAACCAATCTGGGGGTGGTCTATGGCCTTGGTCAAGATATCCTTCTCCCTGATGCTTCTTCGGATCTCTCCCTCGAGATTCATGAAGCGCTTCCTCTGGTCCATGATCGGTCTGCAGATCGTACTTGCAGTCTACAACACACTAGCAACACTACTGCAATGCATACCGGTCGAGAAAGCCTGGGATCTACTCGGTACAGTAGAAGGCCATTGCTGGAGCAGGACGGGAGTCAGGATAAGCTCGATAACCGTTTCCGTCGTCCATATTCTCACCGACTTCATACTCGCCCTTCTTCCCGTATCTTTTCTTCGTGGGATCCAGCGTCCTGTTCGCGAACGCGTTATCGTCGGCGCACTCATGGGACTCGGCTTCTTCACGGGCGTGGCATCGATCTTGAAGATTATCGCTGCTATGAACTTTGGCAAGACGGGCGACCCGATGAACGAAAGCATCATTGTCGGCATGTGGTCCGCTATCGAGGAGCTCGTGGGTTTCATCGTTATATGCGTACCGACTCTACGCTCGCCGTTCCAACATGTACTGCGTTACCTCGGCGTCGCCAGTGTTCGTATCAAAAACAACGCGTTCTCCCGCGGCTACGGGCGTACACAAGAGTCGGAGGTCAACAGGGACAACTTCCGAAATCACAGCCAGAGTCGTCTTGCTACTGTCGAAGGAGACGAAGAGTCCGGCTTCAAATTGAAGGAGCTGCACACGGAGGAGTCGAAGAGATCGTCGGACGAGATGCATTGGCGCGCGAATGAGAGGAATACAGGCAATGGCGAGATATGGTGCACGCATGAGGTCGTGGTTCAGCGAACCTCTCTTAGCGGAAGGCCGTCGCTTGATCAAGTTCATGAAGGCGCGGATGCGCCTTGGAAGGGTGAACCGTTGGAATTTGACTTGGGCATGGCAAGCAGGCACTTAAGTCGTTGATGAGGAGAGCATTGATCACATGAGGGAAAGATAGCAGACGTCTGTTTGTTTATTCCAAGCGAGTGTACGAGCTATATGAGAAAAACGAATGTATAATACTCCCACAAATATCCCACCCTGTCAACTACAGAGGACGACCGGCCAAGTGAGAATCCAAGGTGTTGAACCACGTTCTCAATAGGTACGAAGCGCACTTAGTTGCGCCCAGGCAAGCTGCGGCCCCTGAGACTGAAACGGTTGGAGTTGATCTGCTCAGCGTTGACATCAATTCCGTCACAGCGCAACTTGCGATAGCCTTCCAGCCGATCGACGGTCAGGCCACACGTCAGGAATGCCGCGGGGAACGGATAGCACTTTCCAACAGGCACATCATTCGTATCGACCAAATCGCCACCATTGCGGTCGCGGTAGTAAGCTAGATTGCGCAAGCGTATGTTAGCCTCTCACTTCCCCTTTCTATCGCACATCAGGGATAGGAGGACACTTACTCCAGTGATAGCCCTCGAAATTCATCTCCAGAATCTCAATGTTGGCAGGATCATCATCGTCAGAGCGGCCGCAGCCGTCGCCTTCGCAGCGGACGCCACGGCCACTCGCGTCGTCGGTGTCGGGCCAAATCCAATCTAGCACAGTGTCGCAGTTGGCTTCGTCCTGGTAGACTTGCCAGCCTTCGACGTTTTCGGTGATGCCGTTGCCGCCGATGCCTACGCGGTAGATTTCGAAGTCGGCGGTGACGGCGCTTAGCAGAGAGGCTGTTGCCGCGAGGGTGGTGAGGAGGTACTTCATTGTGGATTGGGTTATTTGAATGAAGAGATGAGGGTCTGAAGGTGGATGGAATGAGTGATTTATTCCAGTAGACGCGGATGTTCATCGTCTTTTATATATTGGCATGTCCACCAGAAGACTCTTAAGTCCGCTCCGCAAGAGAATAGTCGACCACACCGGTGTTGCTCTTGGTCATCATGATGTCTACTGTCTCAGGCGTCTTGAGCATACAATTGGATATCTTTCTCGCGATCATTGGCTTCTGCAAGGTTCGGTTGAATACACTGTTGAAGAAGTGGAGTCGTGAGACATGCCCAGATGGAGTGAGTAGTTGCCATCGTATGAGAACAATCTCATGAAGCTTGGCTACAGAAGATTACGTGTCAACCTGAGGTAAGTATGACAGCTCTGATATGAGTACAGACTCTTGACCGTCGCCGAAAAGAATACTCTCGTGTGCGTGGCCAAAGGCAGTCTGCCAATACCCAACAAACCGTAACTTAGAAACCTTCGCCTACCAAACCCAAGGCAAGAACTCCAGACGTTACCACGTAAACCATTCTTTCAAACGACTACTCTCACCGGTTCAACTCCATCACCACCCCATAAGCCATCCCGCCAAGCTCCAGCTACGTTCAGAGTCAGCATGCCAAGTTTCGCACACCAACCCGCATACAGACACATAATGCAGTTCACACTACGCCTGGCTACACAAGCTTACTAGATTAGCTAAACACTATACCAAAAATGATACACTATCTGCTCATTGCGGACACATCAACATCCGTTTGGAGGGAAAGGGCATTGCGTTGACACATCAAGCCAATCGCTCTGCTGCTTTGATACGACGGGTGCGGTCCGTTCACTGGATATACCCGCGAAGCATCACTTGGCAGGGCGGATATGTTTTTGACTGCCAAGAGTCGTTCGCGAGTGTAAGTGTGTATAGGGTTCATGTGCTTCGCGCGTGTATTCGGATTGGACTCTGAGCCCGGGCATCAGGCAGCAGGTCAAGTGAGAATTATCTGCTCGTTACTGTACGGACGGGAACGAGTGAAAGAATTGCTTCGGCTTATGGATCACAGTGGCGTGATCGCATGGTTTGGACAGAGGTTTTAGGTCTCGAACGTGTGTTGAACGATCATGTCTATAGGCCTGATGTGCTCAATTGGTGATCTTGGCAACACAGGGCTGCCAGTGACGAATGATGGATTGAAGAACTACATATTCAATGTCAGCCCCGTCTGCTTATCATTTACCTAGTAAGACTATATGAGAGGAAGATGTGTAAACCTTTCCTGTCTGATGTGTCATGAGTTGGAGTGTGATGTGCGGGGCACTGTTGGCTGGAGCGCAATGTCGCAGAGGTCCATATTCACAATTCATTGAACATCACGTAGGGGGAAAGTGACTAAAGGGTATAATCGGTTCCATTACGCATCACAAAAGGTCCTTTTGGGTAAGCAATCGCGCCGACGACTATGCAAAACACTCGCATTCCACTCTAGTTACAACCGCCCACCACACACACGCACACAATCAACGCACAGATTCGGAACCAAACAAGAAGGCGACACCCTATGAGTGAACACCAGGAGTATCATCGAAGAGAAAGGAAACCAATGCTAGTCATAACATAATAACATATCCGGGGTACGGAAATGCGCTTATAGCATGAAAGCGAAAGCGGCAGCGGCACCAGCGAAGCTGAGCGCAGCCTGAACACCGGAAGCAGCGTTGGTGGTAGCCTCAGGGAGCCTGGAGGTGGTAGCGTTGCCACCAGCAGTGGGCATGGGGACGGTGCCGTTGGCGTGGACACCAGTGCTGTAGGCGGGGACCATGGCGGAGGTCATGACGGTGGTGGGGTAAGGAGCCTCGCTGGAGTGGACGGAAGATGGCAGAGGGATGGGGGTGTGGCTGGCGGCGGCAGATGAAGCACCGTATCCGTTTCCGTAGCTGGCAGCGGGAGTGGAGCTGGCGGCAGCGGCGACGCTGCTGGGCTCGATCATGGAAGAAGAGACGGCCTCCTCGCACTTTCCAGCGGAGATACCGAACTGGGTGGAGTACTGGTACTGGCCGGTGACATCGTCGATGATCTGGATACCGTATCCGTTGGGGCCGTTGGTAGCCTCAAGAGTGGAGGCAGGGGTCCAGCTGAGGGAACCGCTGTTGGAGATACCCTCAGCGATGGAAGGACCGAACTTGACGACGTTGGTGGAGGGGCCCTTGAGGAGGAGGACAGAGACCGTGTTGGGGGTAGTTGGCTGCCAGGTGATGGTGAACTGCTCGCAGGTGGGGACAACCTAGTGGGGCGCATTAGCTTCCAGGGTCTTGTTTGGTTTCGCGATGCGCGCGCAACGCTCAGGGGTGCAAACATACCTCGTTCAAAGGGCGGGTGATGGGGTTGCCACTGGGCTCGCCAACGGGAGCGTGGATCTGGGCAGCGGCGAGGCCGGCCAAGAAGGTGATGATGGTAGCCTTGGAGTACATGTTGATGGTTGTTGTGGTGGTATTAGGTGATTAACCGGAGTAGATCGAGTATTAAGTAGTGGGAGATGGTTGGTAATGAGTGACTGGTTTCTTAAAGAAGGGCTGAAAACAAAAGTCTTCTGAGGGCTGCAAGATATCTAGGCGAAGGTGAGCAGTAGGAAGAAACAAGACAAGAGGGAGTCAGTCGAACTATATCGATTTTCCCATCCACAAACGGTCAATGCAGGTACCCCTGTTGCCGGCGCAACTTAAGATTGGTGCTCCAGTCCCGTGCAATATCCTTCGGAGCCAGCGCTAGGACGCATTGCACCGCGCTTGGGCACGCGTGACGAATGACACCGCGACGAGGGATTTAGGCAGCTCGTATTGCAGTGGATTGCGGCGTCTTCAGGAGTGCTTGGTGGCTTTACCGGTCAGCTTGTTGGACGCTGGTGCGGGCTATTCCTGGCTGCTTGGAGATTGCTTCTGTCGCTACTGTCTGCGGGTGCCTGAAGGTTAGGAGCGTTGTTCCTGTCAGCCGGCAGACTGTCAGCAATATCGGCGCTTACACAGCCCTAACAGCTGTAGGGCCGACAGCTCAACGCCGAAGAGATGAGAGTCGCATTTCATCGCGGTGTTTGAGTTTGCGGTGAGGCGGTGTCACGATGCGCGGGCGAGGGTTCTCCAGATTCTCGCAAGCCGTGGAACGCGATCTGCTTGCTTGTGCCCGAGTCGTGCGCTCTAGCTCAGGTACCGTTGCACTGGCGGCCGTCGAGGCGCCACTGGTTCACGACCAGGCCCCGAAAAGGGAGAGTTAGGTTGGTCCTTTGTCGCACCTTCGTGCGCTCTGGCTCGACGCATCGCCGTCTAAGCGAGGCTGCACATCACAGACATTCATCTCACCGTAGGGCAGGCAGGTGCGAGCGAGATGGCTTGGGCCAGGCGCGGCAGCCGCGAACAAGCCCGCCAGCCCGCAAAATCACCGCTTCACCCCATTCAACCTGGACAAAGTAATCCAACTCACAGCTCAGACGTGTCACAATAGTTTGCGTTTGTTTCAATTTCTCCATTGCATTGTTGACTCTACTGTTTGTTTATCGTCTCATATTTACATTGCGCCAGGTGCGCCCCTGCCCAGCCAACAGCTCAATGGGCGGTGCGACGGTGACAGCTGTGTCAGCCGATACAAGCATGGACAGCCCTACTGTATGTGGGTGTCCCATCTAGCGAGTGAATGCGTCGTCGGGGTATCTTCGAAGCGGTATGAAATTCGTTACATCATTACTGGTCGGTATGTCGAGTAGAAGGTGTTGCGGCGGAGCGAGTGTGTGTGCATGAAGGACGGGAAAAAGAGTAGGATCGCGCCAAGTAGACGTTGCATAAACAACGAGGCACTTAGCCACACTGGCCGGGGTCTAGAGGTTGTCAGTTTCATGCTCATGCGACACCAGAAGGAGTACTTACACTGTCGTGCCGTTAGCGGCTGGGGGAAGATACCGCCCTCCAAGAGGGCCTTCATGTCCCATTCGGGTGCGCCCTCGGTCTTCCAGGTCCAGAAAATCCAACCGGTGGCCATCTCGTAGGCGTCAAGCTGCGCCTCAATGAAGCGACCGACGTTGTACCTGTCGGCTTCTGACAGGCCCGCAACAGTGCCAGTCGACTTGCCGGTGCAGTCACCGACCTTGGAGCCGCCAAAGGTACCATCGTAACGCGCACCCTTGTCCTTTCCGTTGAGCCACTTTGCGCAGTCGGTGATGCCACCAGTCCATTCACCAGCGATAGTCCACTTGCCGGTGGATGCCATCTGTTTACCGAAGTCGCAAGCGGTCTTGACGTGGTCGTCAATGCTCATAGCAACAGCAGAGTTGTCGAAGATCTCGTAGTGGTGAGTGTCGAGGAGAAGGTTCCACATTCCGGCACCCCAGTTACCCCACGAAGTTACACCCTGGAATGCATCGTGGAAGGTGACTGCAACATTCGAGTCCCTCAAGTTGCCCCAACCATCCATGTAGAATTGTCGGACCGTGTTCATGTCGAGACTGGGGCCCAGAGGCTCGTTGAGAAGCTCGATAGCTGAGACGGCGGGATGCGACGCGTGATCATCGCGGATCTTGTTGAGGACTTTGATGGTGTAGGCCACTGAATCGCCCTGAGTCCAGCCAACGTTGCCGTATTTGCCAGAGTTGTCGAACCCGTTCTGAGATTCGGGTGCGCCATGAAGATCAATCATAACATGGAGACCAACATCGGACGCCCAGTCGAGCGCTTCTCCGAGCTTGTCGTACGCGCCTGGTAGGTATGGGTCGCCGTCACGTGGGAGTACGCTCCAATAGCCGATTGGAATTCGAACGTGGTTCAAACCAGCACCGGCCATCTGTTCGAAATCTGCTTTGGTGATCCAAGAGTTCCAGTGATCACGCAGCCTCGACTGTGCTTCTTCCTTGCCGACAGCTGCAACGAGTGTGTACTCGTCTTTTGCGCTGTTGCCCTCGAACATGCTGGGTGTGATCCAGGGCTCGAGAACGAACCATCCGCCTGTGTTGACACCGCGGACCTTCTGGTTGTTGTAATCGAACATGGGTGCGCGCTTGATGGGTAGGAGCGGAGATGCGTTTGTGCTCAGAGCAAGCAGGCCAATGGCCGCCGCTGATGTCCAGGATCCGATCATATTGAGATGAGGAGTGTTGTTACTCAACTAACTGAATGCTGTATAACATGCAATTGTACTCGGAAGGAGTACAGGAAAGGTTGTGTAGCTGATGGATCCAGACTTGAACTTGTGCAGACCCATGGCATCGGGGGAAGGATCTCCTTTTAACCAGAACAAAGCGAAGACTCACAAGCCGCCAACACAGCAACAAATTCGCCCCAATTTTCTTCCCAGTCATGCCCGCCATACAAGCATGTGTTCGCTGCTTCACGACGTAGGGATGATCTCCTTTCCCGGAGCTCTATCCCAGCTAGCCGCGACAGCTATTCTGGCCACCATTAGGGCGGTGTCGGGGAAGGCAACCAAGGCAACCAACCGCAGTACCGCCGACATGTCGCGATCGAGCAGTGTCGGAACGATGTGTACATCGTTACTTACTCCGGACACGGAGACATCGCTGGCAAATGACGCGGTGACGCAACAGCTCCAATAGGGGAAGCAAGTCGAAGCTACCCCAAGCCGCTTGACAACCGCCACAAAGACCGGTTCCGCCAGCAAGCTACGGTAAAATGGACCCTGACGGCCTCGGCAGGCCATAGCATAAAGCAAAAGATCTGGGGTCAGGCGGATCAAAGAGGTCAGATGCAGGGTTGGTGCTTGGCGGAAATTGTAAGGGATATTCAGGTACAGTGTGGTGATTGGAGGACTGTTTGATGGCTATGATGTGGGGATCGGCGTGTCTCAGCCACTTAGCTTCCGAGGCGGTGCTCACGCGTTGGAGACGATCTTCGAGAAGCTTGGAACAGCGTCCGAGGAGCGTGGTGATACACCGGAACGTGGACGGTGGGTTCTTGGGAGTGAGTTGGCGTTTGCCAGCACCGACTTGTCAAGAGCATTGTCGACAACATAGGAATCCGGTTGCGGCCAAGTTCGTGTAACGTTGCTTCGGGCGTTCCCCGATATTTTCATGGACCACCCTTGGTATGTACTGAGCATCTGATGTCGTACGTCCGTCCACACAGGGCGGCTGAGGAATGCAGACTGGGCTGCAAACGGCACCGTTGCGGGGAAGGTCAAAGTCAGACCTCGTTGTGGTTCTGTGATCGGCAACACGTCCACATGCAAAACACGCTGTCCCCGGGCAAAAGGCCCACGAGGCCGAAGTTCTTCCAACATGGTGGAGGTATGATGCCATTATCTGACTCATGCCTTCTCGTGGGCAGTGATCTTTGCCCCATGTAGAGGACTGTGGTACCTGGAAGCTGAGACAGGTACCTCTGCCTTGCCAACTGGCTAAAGGCGACATTCATTTGTAAAAGCAAGTTGTTTCGTGCCGTGGTGTCCAACATGCGAGGCAAACCGTGTGGCTTGCCAATAGGGCATCAGGAGGATGAGCCGCCCCCAGAAGCATCGACGTCATCAATCGCAAACATCTTCTTCACCGTACATTGCCAACTTCCTCTTCTGCACGTCACGAGATTCGCCGCCGACACACCGGACGCATATGCAGCTTGCCTAAGTGATGTCGTTACCAGGTTACTGACAAGACACGATTGTCGGGTATAAACGTGCAACGGCGCGCGATCGCGAAAAGCTTGGCTGATGCGGGGAAGGTGGCACGATGCCTTTCCCGGCGCTGGCGAAGTCGGCAGTAGATCTACGAGCGTGATCGCCGGAGCCATGGGAGGGCGTGTGACTGCCAGAAGTTTTCTAGTGACCATCGTGGATGCCCAAAGCTCGCTGAGGTTGATGTACCCGACGAGGATTCGTCTGCCGGCCTGCTAGTCTACCAAGGTGGCAGTTAGCTGCGCAGCGTCGTCAGTCATAGTACATCGTGCGATGGGGTGCGGAGATGCGCGGGCGGGTTGGACTACTGGAACGAGTTAAGCTGACAGCATAGGTTTGTGGGGTAGTGTGAAGCATCGTGGGAGTGAAGTTTGGGTCAAGATGTCGCGTGATGAAGGTAGACAGAGTCGCCGTGCGGGTAGTGACGGCCTCGGGGGCTTTTAGGCCATGTGACTTGGGACAAGACGGCATCATGACGGTCGACACAGTATGGCGACTGGATGACGATGGTACTTGCTCGCATAGTTGGAGGTTCGGCGCACAATGTTGCGCATGCTTAGTTTCAGAGGCATAGTGCAAGTCACGCGGAAGCGTTCTCGATGCACTGCATGGCCGCCGATTGAAATTACGGAAAGATTTCGCGTGCACAGGCGCTGGCGGCAACCTAACGAACAGAACCGGGTTACTAACGATGCCCACGATACGCACATGTCGACCACGTGAAACTACATCAACGTCTAATGCCTAGCCAAACTGTATCCAACTTGGTCCCTGCCAGTGTCAACTAGAAAATTACAGACGCCTC